GTTTATTTGCCTATTTTTGAGATTATTTATATAGAATTATATAGAATATTATATAGAATATTTTTGAGATATTTAAAGAAAACTTGATAACTTTTCCATATATAACTTACGAAATCTCGTTGACTATTTGTCGATAAAAAGTGGTATTAGACTCTTTTACTCTTTGGTCTGAAAAATATATTGTTACAATAGCGTCCTAACTTTTGTTAATTTGATGATTTTGAAATTTTCAAAGGTCGGCAAGTTAACAAAAGTTACGGCATTATTGTAACAATATATTCTTGAGATCAAATAAAATAAAAAAGTCTAGTATTATTTCTTCTTCTGACAAATAACGAGATATCCTAAATTAAATATTGAAAAAGTTACCAAATTTTTCTTAAACATCTCAAAATATATTAAGCAAATAAAAAAAATATTTCAGACAAAAGTTGTTAAAATTAATTGATAGAAAAAGATGATATAATAAAAAATTGAGATTTCCATTTAAGAAAAATAATGATCATTTAACAATATGATATAGTTATTTTATATCTCCCTTGAAACTATATAACTTTTATCTGAAACATTTTTTTCTAAAATGCTTAGTTTTCGAGATATTTCGCCATTCCGGTACTTTTTATACATTCTATATATATTTTCATTCTATATTATTCTATAGTTTCAAAGTGCACAATATTCGTCGAGCGTCCTGTTAATTTCAAGGTAAATGATCGATTTCCAATCTTCACGCCTTCCTTATCAGTGCGATATCGTGCAATAGATCGTATTCAGCTAACATTGACACGGCAAATTCCAGAGTAATCTGGATGGATCACGTAAATTATTCGAAATTTCAATGTCACTCTTCACTTAGTAAAGAAGCTAAGTATCGCTCATATACGTAAAATGCATTAGTAAAAGATTTGTCACCTTTGTTCACTCGTAGCAACGTCGACGGGGAGGCAAACATGCGCAAGGCAAATGCGACCACGCGAGGTCTTTGACACCGTGACCGCAATGGTCAGTCCGGACGACTGGAAAATCGGTGTACCGTTTCCGTCAGAAATTAACAGCACGAGCGGTCGTCCTTGATCGGTCCTGCGACCCGTAGATTTCATTGTCCTGCGACCCCGAGATTCGCGCTCCTTTCTATAAAGGACCTTGACGTGTATCCCGTGCGTGCACATAATCGTATATCCTGACCCTTCCGGACGACAGTGGGATTAAGAAGTCCGCGCGCGTGCGCAATGGTTTTTTTTGTCGCGCCGGAATTTGGGATCGTGCCAGAAGGACGATGTCAGTCTCGAGAAGAATTCGGCGATATACTCGGGAAGATTGTCATGAGGACACCGGTCGGTTTCCTTTTCTGCTGGACGTCCTTCGACCTTCCGAGGCGCGGCCTCGAAATTTTACTCACGACGTCTGTTTAATCCTGGTGAATGCGCCGGACCGAGTTAATAAAGGATATCCCAAAATTCACGCAAGAAGTAATTTTGATAGAAAACACAGGTTTATAAATAATTAAAAATTGTAAATTTTTTATTGATTCATAAAGTATACAGTATAGGGTTATGTATGGAATAGCATATCGGGTAAAAATGGCCTCCACGGCTTTGCTGGCACATATGCACTCTTTTGTTGAAATTTTCCATGACCGTTTTGCATAAATGTGGCTGAATTTCGTTGATACCTGCGCTCAATTTCCTCCTTCAAGACGTGAATGGTCGTGGGCTTGTTTGTACAAACCTTAGACTTTAAAAAACCCCAAAGAAAAAGGTCCAACGGCGTTAACTCGCATGATCTGGACGGCCAAATCTGATCACCAAAACAAGAAATTACACGATTGGGAAATGACTCATGCAATAATTGAATTGTTTCTCGGGCTGTATGGCATGTGACACCGTCTTGTTGAAACCACATGTCGTCCACATCCATATCTTGCAATTTAGGTACAAAAAACTGGATTATCATGTCGCGATAGCGAGCACCATTAACTGTTATTGCCTGACCAGCCGCATTTTCGAAGAAGAATGGTCCGATGATGCCTCCAGCCCAAAATCCGCATCAAACAGTGACACATTGTGGATGCATTTGTTTCTCAACAATCACTCGTGGATTTCCTGAACCCCAAATGCGACAATTTTGTCGATTAACCAATCCATCAAGATGAAAATGAGCTTCATCGCTGAAGATGATTTTGTTCGAAAAATCAGCATCCACTTGTTGTTGTTCCATAATCCATTCAACGAACTCTCTTTGCTGTGCGTGGTCAGTAGGCTTCAGTTCTTGAGTCAATTGAACTTTGTAAGCATGAAGATGCAAATCTTTCGTGAGAATACGCTGTAGAGAGCTTCTCCAAATGTCCAATTCTTGACCACAGTGCTGAATTGATGTTCCTGGACTCTCAACAACACTTTCACGAACTGCTTCGATGTTTTGTGTTGAACGACTTGTTGAAGGACGGCCAGAGTGTTTAAGATCACTAATTGATCCAATCTCCCTAAATTTTTTAATTAATCTCTTCACAATTGATGAAGTTAAATCACTATTCCGACCATATTTTGTACGAAAATTGCGAAACTTTATATAGCTGCCAAACTTTCATTATTTTTAAAATATTGCTCAACAATGAAAACGCGTTGTTCTTTCGTGTAACACTCCATTTTAAAAACCCTGAACTGTCAACTGTCACGCTGTCTTTTTTTTCGTTGGCAACACTTTACCGCACAAATGGCGCAAAATTCAAATCTTGCGTGAATTTTGGGACACCCTTTAGTTATAGTCTCGCACAGCGGGATTTCCATTCGCAGTCGATCCTTGACCGGCTGCATCGCCGTTGATTGCCGATGAAACGAACGTTTAATGGAAAGCTGCTGCGGGTGAAAATATTGGTACATTTTCGGACTAATGGCCTCTTGTTTTCAATCACCTGATGCCATGATTTCCTGACGGAGAGCGTTGTATGTATTGAAAACGCGACCCGTTTTCATAGCAATCCGTAGTTTCCGATAGAGACTTTAAAATCGATATCGACCGTTCGCCAGACGTTCAATCCGCAAAAGAAACCAGTCCGTGTCTACAATTTATTAAGAGGTAGAATTAATTCTGGTCTTATTTTGTCAACATTTTATCTTTATTTTAAAGAAATGATTAAATTTACATTAATCAAAATATTTTCCGCCGTTAGCTGTGATTGTTTCCCTTCTTTCTGGCAACATAGCGATTCTGCGATGGTAGAACGATCTGTCTTTCGAAGCAATCCAATCAGACACACATTTTTGCACATCCTCGTAATTATTGAAATGTGTATCTGCCAAAGTGTGTTGCATCGGTAGGAATAGATGGTAATCAGATGGTGCTAGATCTGGAGAATACACTAGGTGCGGAAGGATTTCCCATTTGAGCTCTAACAATGTTTGTTTAACGAGCAACATGTGAACGAGCATTACCGTGCGAAAGAATCACTTTGCGTCTATTGCTGGCTATCGTTGGCCTTTCTTGCATCAATTCATCATTCAATTCGTTTAATTGTTGCTGGTATCGCTCTCCTGTGACTATTTCATTCGGTTTAGAAGCTAATAATACACCACATCTTCCATATCCCACCAAATATAGAGCATTGCTTTGTGACCATGAATGTTCCGTTTTCGTGTTGATGTTGCGGCTCGTCCTGAATCAACCCATGATTTTTTCGCTTTGGATTATCAAAATAAATCCACTTTTCATCTTCAGTTACAATTTGCCACAAAAAATTCTTTTTTTCTGTCTGGCAAGCAAAGACATAGCGATATTCAAACGATTTACATTGGCACTTTCACTCAATTCATGTGGAACCCATTTGCTTTCCTTTTGAATTTTTCCCATGGCGTGTAGGCGTTTAGAAATTGTTGATTTGTCGATGTTGAGTTGTTCAGCCAATTGTTTTTCCGTTTGAGTGGTGTTTTTATTCAATAATGCTTGCAATTTAGAATCTTCGAATTTTTTTGGTTGACCAATACGTTCTTTGTCATTCAAATCGAAATCACCGCTTTTGAATCATTGAAACTTACCAAAATTTACAGTTGGAATACAATAGAGTTTGATCACCATAAGTTGTAACGAGCATTTCATGAGCTTCAGTTGCCGATTTTTTTGAATCAAACAAAAAAAGTAATGAACGTCGAAAATGCAATTTTGTACGATCTATTTTAGACGTGTATAAACAACGAAACTGTAAATAACAATAGCGCACAAACTGTCATATGTCATAGAGAAATGCCAAATCTTTTAGTGTTGCCAGATTTTAACATTCGTACTAATTTATTACTAAAGCCATCTATTGCTAAGGACCAGAACTAACTTCCTAATACAAATTTAACTTCCTAATACAAGAAAAATACGCGCTGGAAATGTATTATACATTGGTAGCTGGCGAACAGTTGGCGAGCATCGCGAACTTGGTTCGCATCTCCTTCGAAGTGTTATCATACGTCTGTACGTTAGTCAGATTCAATTATTGCGAGATTAGTCCGCGACTTTGACGGGAAATTGAACGGCTCTCTGTCGAGCTTGCGAAATTGATGAACGCGCGCTTCGGAGTGAAGCCGAGGATCTCTCACTGCGCAGATTCGCTCGCCGTGCGATCTCGATAGAAATAACTTCCGCGAGACGAAAAGAATGCATCGAGGGGTAGAATGCGTGGACGGCCACTTCGATTCGCAACGTCCAAAGTCAGAAGTCTCCCGCGCGGCAGCGGCGTCGCGTAATCCGCGCGTCATTTCTCTCGTCTATCACCCATCTGTTTCATTTGTCGGCGTGACGGCGTGATTTTCGCGGGATAACAATGAAGGCTTCTTCTACTACGCGCCCGCGGACCGTCGACATCTGCGGATCACCAACATCTCCGCGCGCAAACGCCAGGCGATGCGAGCAATGCGTCTCTTCCAACGGGCTTACAAAGTGCTGCACCTAAACGCAGCCGCTTGCGTCGACGCCCCTTCGAGACATCGATTCGTTTTATTATTACCTGACGCAACCGCAGCGAGTCAAGCTGAGCCGAGTTGCGTATCAAACGCTATCAAAACCGGCCGCACGTCGAACGGCGCGCAAGTTACGGTAATTGTGACGTGCAACGCGCACTTTTGCGTTGTTCTAATATAGTGTGAGTTTGTGTAGCGTGAGTCTGAATACCACGGATTTATCGTGAACCGCGAGTTTAGCCGATAGTCACACCCGACCACCTGTGATTGTAATTTATGGATTTATGCTGATGTTGCGGAAGCGCGATAACCGGCTCGAAGGAATTTTTATCTGTGACGGTGACTCGATAGAGAGACGGAGGTCCGTTTCGTGCACTTGTCACTGACCGTGGTCGCGGAGATTTCCTTTCTTTCTTCTTTTTTAAAGAGAGGAGCATGAGGCCATTTTATTTGTTTTTCCGTCTGACGCAATGTAGATCGCGTCAATCAAGAAAAAAGAAAAAATCGTCTCGATTGGGCACTTTTCCCAATAAGCACTAGCATCGAATATGATAACAATCAAAGTTTCCCGAGCGCGATAGCAAGTATCGGAGCGTCAAATCTCCCGCGCCTACCGACACTCGACTCATCCTCAGGTAGAAGTGAAAATTACAATTTTTCTTCTTCGTAGACAATACGCGATACGTTCAAGACGCGAATAGAAGACGAGAAATATCGCCGCCGCACGTGCGGCACGCTCGCTCGCGCAATTGGCGCACCTGCGCATTCCGTGTCATTAGCCGATTTCATCAGCGTCGCGACGCGAAGGTTGATCACGCGGGTCTCTGCGTTATATCGCGAAATATCGCCGATGTTGGCCGCCCGTTGCTCGTTACGTTCGCAGTTACCAGACGGGGGGGGGGATTTTTCGCGCGGGCACGGGAGGCCCGTTCCCGCTGCTCTAGCGAGCAAGATAAATCATCGTTAACGCCTGGCGGCCGTCCGCGGACCGGCGCGACCTGTTTTTAACCCTTTTTTCTCGCCGCGCTCGCCGCTCACGTGCTTGCCGGTCGCGTGTCACGTTTGACGACGTACGGCGCGCTTCGGCATCGCGGCGGTCACGTGCACGCACGCACGCACGCACCAGTCTCTCCAATGCGACACACGAGTGCGAGCGTACAACCGCGTGTAAAATTCTTCCTGGGATCTCAAACGTGACTCTCCCGAGAACGAGCCTCTCAAGAGCGATAATACGCGTTGACCAACCGCGATTCTCCCATCTCGCGTTACCCAATTCTCATACCCAGCATGGTAGATAAGCAGATTTCTCATGGATCGCTTTTTTCCGCGCCGCGCGAACGCCGCGGGAACACTCGCCGTACAAAGTTTACCGTCTGTGATCTTTGGCCCCACCTTTGCAAAAATTCCCTCATTTCTCCACGTTCTCTGCACACGACCAAGCGCCACGAATCAAGAGCTGCGCGATGCCGCGATAGAAATTCAATGTTTGTTATGCATACAAGGTGTCCGGGATCGTTTGGAAACGAAAAATTGATGAAGATTGATCGGATCGAACTGAGAAAAAAGTCATGTATCATTCTGAAAAAATTGCCAAAATTATCAATAATTGAAAATGACTACATCCAGAGGCTCTTTTAATTAACTAAGTATATGACGACTATTGTGTTTTAGCGATAGATATGAATACATTGAACTTTGAACTCTGAATCTTGAACCTGTCGCTAGGCACAATAGTCGTAACATAATTATAGATTAGGTTATTTTAAACAAAAAAGATTTTTACCATTTTGCAAATAAGTACGCAAATTTTCAAGTTATCAATTAAAACAGCCTCTAGATGTGGTCAGATTCAATTATTAATAACTTAATAACTATTACGATTTTTGTAAAATAGTACTAGACTTTCCTTCTCAGTTTGATCTGATTAATCTTCAGATGTTATTTATAAAAATGTGGCAATGCAACATAATGGGTCGGCGAGAGAATAAGGTGGTAATGTGGCCTTCCGCTAAACTGATACAAAAATTTGATTTTGTTTAGAATAACACAAAGTATTTAGTTACGAAATTATATATTTATCCAAATTAAACTCTTATAAGGGGAATAATAATGAAGATAACGGCCAATTTTTATACGAGGATATTGGCTTATTTGTTGAGAAATACAATCTATCAGGAGGATAGCAATATAGTGCAAACATAAGTGCAATAGTGGACTATAGATTAGAATCGATTTATCTAATAATCAATAATTATTTTCAATATCGCTAGACACAATAGCCGTCATATAATTATGGATTAGGTCATTCTGAACAAAAAAGTCTTTTACTATTTTGCAAATGTGTACGCAAATTTTCAAGTTATCAATTAAAAGAAACTCTAGGTATTGTCATTTTCAGTCATCAATAATTTAATAATTATTGCGATTTTTGCAAAATGATACTTGACTTTCCTTTTCAATTTGATCCGATTAATCTTCACAATTTTTCACTTCCAAAAGATCGCGGACACTCTGTATAAATGAATCGGAAATTTGGAATTTTTATAAACAATCCCAATTGTCTGGCAATTTTTAATGATTCTCCTCTGGTTTTGATGGATACCGTTTAAATATCGAGTCTCGAATATTAAAATGTACCAATTACAGATGTACAGGTTGTACAGATGTGCACAGAATAAAAGAAAACTCGATTCGTGTAACTGATCTTCTATTGTCTGGGGACCAGATTCAAATCATTTACTCAAAAAGTGAACATCTTAGAACGTCTCGAATACATCCAGTTTGGTATTATCTGGCATTATGTCGCACAAAATGTTAAATTGTTTATTCTTTTTGTATATTTCCTCGTGCAACATTTGTTGACGAGTACATTATGATTGCCGTTTGCGGTTTCTTACGCAGATGCATCGTAAGTAACGCTGCTGATTTTCGATAAAACTTTTGAAGAAAAAAGAAAAAATAGAAAATTCATTCAGGATAACGAAACGTTGGCGGATTCGTCCGAACATTCCTGCGCGCATATACGTGCGCGACCTCTTAGCACCGGCAATCGTCGGGGATGATGTTTGCAAGGAATAAATCGACGGCCGGTACGTGAATAGGTAATTTCCTAGTCACGTGTGAAAGTACCTCAGGAATTCAGCGCCAAAGCCGGTCTTCTGACCTTTGCCGCTGTTGGTGCTGCTGCTGGTTCTTGACTGGCTCCGGCACGGTCTGTGAGTAGGGCGAAACAGGAACGCGCGTACAGCCGTGGCGATAGATCGAGGTGAAGAGGATCGAAATCGGTATGATTTCGAAGCTGCGAATGGGGGACACAATGTGTCCCCCATCTCCGATCGTCACGGTCCTATTACCGCTCCATTGTCTGCGCGACGGCATCGAAAGCCGATCGCTTCGAAATTATATCAGTTTTCTTCCGTAAACTCAAACGATCGAACGTATAATATTATTATATGTATATATACAAGGTATAAAAAATACTGTTATACAAGTTATATAAAGTATAAAAACTAAGTAGAGACGGTTAAATATCTCGAAAACTAAGCATTTTAGAAAAGAATATTTTAGACAAAAGTTATATGGTTTCAAGGGAGACATAAAACAACTATATCATTTTGTTTATAAATGGCGCCACTTTCGAGATATTCATTCATCATTACTTTTCTTAATCGGAAACCCTAATTTTTTGTTATATTATCTTTTTCTATCAATTAATTTTAATAATTTTTGCCTGAAACATTTTTTTATTTGCTTAATATTTCTTAAGATATTTAAAGAAAACATTTTTAATATTGAACTTACGATATCTCGCTGTTTATCGGAAGAAAAAATGGTACTGGATTTTTTTAATTTACTTTGTCTCAAGAATATATTATTACGATAGCGCTCTGACTTTTGTTAATTTGATGATTTTGAAATTTCCAAAAGTCGATAAGTTAATCAATCCAGTACGTTTGTAGATTTGTTGAAAAATTCTGCGGATGTCCAAGCTAGCGAATTTCATCGAGTTAGAAATGATAGAAATGATAATTTAGAAAAATTAAAAATCAAAGAAAAATTGACACATGACGAGATAAATCGCATCGCGTCCGCAATGATTCTTCACGGCCTTTTTTTAAATTGGTAAAACTTTAGAATAGGGCCTTTTCCGAATTTTGATATATTTTTCCTATTTGCTGGATAAAAATCTTTGTTGTGACTACGACAATGATAATTAATGTCGGGAGCCCGAAAAAAATGTTACCGACCTATTTTTTCAAGTTTTTTCGGATCTTATATAACTCTGAAGGAAAAATGCACCAAATTTAAACTATCGAGTAAAAGTATGAAAAACTCAATGAACTTTAATAAACCAAAGACATAAACTATTCTCCGCTACAATTTAGACTTTATAATATAAATTTGTGCTTTTGATTGAAGCAGAGCATGATTGTGAATAATACTCTGCTTTATTTTGCTTGTAATTTATGATACGTCCTACTTTGCGTAGGGGTCTTGCTAATTTTTTCAGTATCCATTTAATATATCGTAGACTCACCTGTTTAGTAAGGCGAAAGATTCGAGCAACAACTGTGAACGGTATTTAATCAGTATAAAATCGATATTTAAAATTTTAAACATATGGAATAAAATTTTCATGTTTTTTCCAATAAAGATCTTAGTTCTCCTCCCCCCTCCCTTAATATATATGTAAAACTTTGTAAACATGTTTTTTACACCTAGTTTTGTAAATTACTGAACAAGAAAACGTAGTTTTTGGTATAATAGTACTTCTGAATATTTATCAAAAAAGTTGCTAAAAAAATAAGTGGGTAACATTTTTTTCGGGCTCCCCTGATTGATTATCATTGTCGGAGTCACAACAAAGATTTTTACTATGAAAGTAGCAAATAAATATCAAAATTCGGAAAAGGCTCTATTCTAAAGTTTTACCTTTAAATTTCCTTCACTTTTGATTCCGTATGATTATTTGTGCGTCTGTGAATTTTGAATGAATGTGTAAACTTTTACGGCACTCATACACGCACCACCTCGTGTACTGTACGCCATGGACGCGGGTCATTGGCGGCGTTCTCTCCAGACCCGACGATTCAATGCTCGGACCTGTGCTCACAATAAGGTCAAGAGCTGGTTGCA